AAACACATGTTATCACATATTTTTTTGGATTATAAAAACTCTTCAAAATGTGAAATTCATACATGTTTACAAATCTCCTGTAATCAGGGCTGGGGCAACATAGCTTGAGACCCCTTTCCTTTCTCCTCACCCCGCAGAAATTGTCCATCTTAATTTAGAGAAAATTTAGGGGCTTTTTTCCAGGGAACAAAGCAAGCTGTCTGTAATGATGAGCAAGGCTGTGTTTTAAGGAACATTGAAAGGAGCCCAGTTCTCTGAACCTGTAAAATCTAGGCTGCCCAGCATATGATTTGTATGAAAAGTCTGAGATTTTCTAGTCACCCAAAAGCAAAAGTTAGGTGCCAGGGGCCACAGGGCTCTGCTAGAGCACAGCCTTGATCAGGTGTCTGTAGGAAGCGGTTGTCCGTAAAGAGGGCTTTTGGGTTACCAGTTATTGCAGAGGTGGATCCTAGTAGTACAGTAAAACCCCCTGACTTAGAACCTGAATTTTAAGAACATGTTAGGCTAAAATATGCCAGATGAGCCCCCTCTATATAAAAACCTGTTTAGCCTAAAATTTGAAACAGGTTCTTATTTTTGAAATCTATGAAAAAATTCTGTACACTTGAGCAGAGATAAATCAACATTTAGAATCTCCTTTGGAGACAAAGCTGTCTTATCACTCCAACTGCAATGTAAATGCCAATGTTTAAATTTAAATACATTCCTCTTTTTATGTCCATTCTCACATAACTTCTAATTTGGTATGCAGACTTTGTATGAGGAATAAGGTGAAACACAAATACTCTTAGCTACAATTTCTCTTCACAAAATATGAACCCATTTAAAAACCTAAATAGCCTAAACTTGTGTTAACTACTATTTATATAAGAATCTGTTTAGGCTTACTTAGTTAATTCAGGTTCTTAGTCTCACGATTTTACTGCCCCTTTGTTCCACTTTTTCTATTTCCTTTCCCTGTCACCATTTTTTCAGCCTTGGTCCCAATATCAAAAGTACATTCAATGATCAAGCAATTTATATTTTAACTAAAGCCACCAAAATATGCAAATTGCTTGATATGTATTAAACAGTGTAAATGCGTAAACAGATTGAACGACATTACTTACCCTGTGGGGCAGGCATTTCAAAGAAAAGGGAAAGTGGGTCTTGGTGCAAGAGAAATGTGAGGGAAGGAGGGAGGGAAATACCTGCCATACAGGAGACTAATTGTTTTTTGCATTTTAAACATCAACCCGGTGAATTTTGAAATCACTCCCTCCTTCCTCGTGCACTCTTCGCATTTCTCTTGTGCCACAGACCCCTTTCGCTTTCCTTTTAAATGCCTGGTACAGGGGCAAATCACCACTGAATAAAACAGGGACTAGGCAAGAAACTGACGAAGTCATACCATCTACACAACAACACACACCAATCTTGGAAGTAGATTATGATTTTCTTTTCTCAAGAGTGATGTCCATTTTTCTCCGAATAAAAGTAAAGTGCAAGCTTAGTGGATGTTATGAAACTCTTCTTCTACACTGCACTATTCTTGCAATTCTCCCAAAAACCATTTTTCATAAAGGATGGCTGGTTTCAAAATGCACAGGGCTTAACTGTATAATCAAACTTATCATTTAATTTAATACCTGTAATTCTTATCCTACTGATTTTATACCTGCATAAAGGGAATCACATGTATGACTGCAATTTTATTATGCTTTTTTTAGTCCTATTACAAAAATAGACATTCCCACATCAGAGTACTCATCAGCCAATGTATATACCGATTTCGAACATTTTATGCTCACCTAATGCTATTGTTTGGAGGAACCACTCGCCGCTGCTCCGCTATTTTGTGATCAGCTTGTGGTTACAACAGTAACACTTCCAGTAACATGTCACATTGGTCTTCGCGAGGCTTTATTTTCCCATGAAAACATGCCGGTTTCAATTCGGAAAAAGTATCACAAAACGTGGGGCGCGTTGGGGAGCGATAAAAAATTAGCATAGAACAAGGTTTGTAAAAACACTTACAACTATCTTCTACTTTCGACGGGCAATATAATGGAAATTATAGCTTCTTAAAAACCGGGTTCAAATTTCATGCTCTTACAGGAGGAATCTTCGGGCACCACGTTTTGGATTGAAATGACGAATATTGATTTGTTTTTCTTCACAGAAAAAATCTAAACAAATATTAGCTTATGAAATCGAGAAAAACGATCTAAGGAAAGAACTGTATCTATTGAAAAATAAAGCATATAACCTGCGCAATTTCTCGACCTTCGCCGCCATCTTGAAAATTTTGAATCCACAATGCATCGCAATCGTAGTGCGCACACCACCTGGGTCAGTACGGTGGTGTATACCAACAGCAAAGACATTTTGTTTGTTTGTTTTGTAAGTTCTGTAAAATCACTAAGACATTTAACATTACCTTCCCTAAGAAATTATTAGCAGCCAAGGAATAGAATCAAGCAACGCGGGTTAAAGGAATAATCTTCACTCGTTTCGTAGGCTTTGGTGCTCGATGTGTATCTCCAGCTAAATAGATTACATTTAATAAAAACCTACCATATATTTGGTCATTTAGGATAGAAAGATATAACTACTACTTCCAACTCTGTAGTAAACAGACGCGCTTTTTAATAAAAGTGACTTAGGTGAAACATCTATGTTAAAAAAACCCCTTAACTGACTTAAGTTTTGAAGGTGGGAAACAAAATCGAGAATATTGCGTAACGTGTGTTTTAATTAATGCCCCGTATAATTTTTTTTTTCGGTGGGAAAAAAAAAATTGCGAAATAGTTTTAGAACTTTCTGTAGATGGGTTATTTTTAACCCTTGCTATTTTGCGATTGGTCCTGGTGAATTTATCAAAAGAATATTGATAAATCTAAGAATACATAACCTCGTGCTTTCAATTACTTCGTTCTCTGCACTATGGAAAGTGATCTAGACTAGTGGATAAAAGCTGCCTTGTTGGAGGTTGAGAGGAATCTCGACCTCCCAACGAACAGCTTGGTAGACGAAGTGATGTTAAAGCCAGTGGTCGTGACGCTCCTTCAAGTTCGATTGAAAAAGACCTTGATGGCGACTGTTTCGGATTATCGTATCTAACACAGTCATTTTGCAAGGATGCAAAAAAGAATCGCGGAACAAGATATCTTGATCGGTGAGCTGATTTCAACCCTCACCAGCGCCCTCGAGGGTTGATTGATACACCCACAAAAAAAAGGCTCCTTTAGGAAACACCACCTTGGTAAAAGTCAATGACCAAACAGTTTACACATATTTGGCAAAATTGCGCCAACATTATTGCGCCATTCTCTCGCTCAGATTAACTCATTAACCTATATACATTACACTGAAACTTTGATCGCTCCAATAACGAGAGCACAAAACTTTCCCTTACATTATACACTCTTCACAAAAACCTTGAAATATCAGTGTATTAGAATATGACTTCGTTATTTAGATATTTGGGGCACAAGATTATTGCACCAAAATTTAATCATTAGGTGCCTGTATACATTACACTACTTTTCATAGCTTGACACATTAAACAAAAGATACCTTTCAGAAATGGACGCACGTTTATCGAGTCCACGATAGGAAAATATTTCCCTGAGAAAATACTCAGAAAACCTTTACAATATAGAACACCATTCCTTGTACAGAGATTAGTGGCACAGGGTGCAAAGAAAATGCCCTTCGGGCAAGCTGTAACCAACATCTACTAGCCCGAGAGTCATTTTTACTAGCCCGAAAAAAAATTTTTATGAGCAGAATGAAAAATAATTATTCCTTTCTTAATTGCTACGGAGCGACCGAAAGGAGCGAGCAGCAACATAATCAGGATTTAAAGGAAATATATAAGGGACGATGAATTCTCGAATTCATCACTTTTTACCACAATGCATTGCATTTAACCAGAGTGCATTGCGCCACAAACAACTCAAATAAAAACACGGGGAAGTTTGGTGGGTGAGAGAGTGCATCGTTCGCTGCTCAGACTTAGAGTTTTCTTTGTGGCAAATTTTCTACAGCACGGTTAGAGGTCTTACCAAATTTTAAGACACGCAGGAATCTTTCAGATGAGTACAATGGTTAACTTGGAGTGGATTTCAATTCAAGAGCCTTTGACTCGTCCAGGTGTTAAACCTGACGAGAAGATGAGCATTTGCTCTTCGACTCCGCAACACGGGGGATATACAAATTCCAGTTTGCTAGATGGTGATGTGAAAGTGAGAAAATGTCATGCAGTGCTATTCTTAACAAACTGTATGAGCCGAATATGGATGTGATTTTGACCATTCGCTTCAAAATAACAGCGGAAATCGAGATAACAAAACATATGTTTTGTGTCCTACTTTGCAGACGAGGACGTGTATCGGCGTTTTGAAAATTAATCATAATTATGTTCTTTCATTCCCGTGAGTTCTTTCTATAGACTGATAGTAATTATTCTAGTACTTTCCAACATGTAAATAGGACATTCAATGTCATTTTCGATTCTTTTAAGTCTCACTGCCTAACTAATGCCAGTATCAACAGAATGTGCTGCAGCATTACTGTCTTTTAGATACCCTAGTTACACTGTAAGTTAAAAAAATAATGGCTTCATTTATTCATTACAATCAGCTGTAGTTATTTAACAACAAAATAAGGAATTTAAGTGAAACTAACGGAATGAAGGTCCAAATATCAGACAAACGTTTTTCTTTGAACACAATCCAAAAAACTACATATTAATGGTAAACCTCTTCTGAAAATGTCCATACTAAATAGAGGTTCATGCTGTATTTACAACCAGTTCAAATACTCTCATTACATCGTGAAGTCATTACAAGGTACAACAGGCTACTTGACGCTAATAGAACGGTCTTACAAGGCTACAATAACAACTGATGTGTATGTAAGAATCTAAGTCAACAAAGTCGATTTACAACAGTACTGTGCTTAAAATATGACAGTATGTGTAGTAAACGTTCCAGAACCACGAGTTAAGTCACTATTTACAGTATGTGTCTCTTTGTCTTTGCATCCAAAATCCAGTGGGAAATGGCAGGACCAGGACAGTATTCCTTGGTGGAAACATCAGAGGAACGAACCCTCATTAAATCTACCAAGCTTCCTTGTGAGATTCGTGTACATACATTACTCTTAAGCTGGTTCATGGCCGAGAAGCTCCTTTCACAATTGGCTGTGGATGGTGACAATGTCATCATAAGGTCAACAAGTACGAGGCAGTCTTTCACGTCATCAGGCGTTGAAGCTAGAAGGTTTGCGAAAACATCAACTGGATTGTTTGCCTTTTGTTTGCCGAGTCTGGTACGCAGCATGGGCCACTGGTCAAGGATGTTTTCCTTCTCTTTCTCAGTAAGGAGGTACCCAAAGTACTGAACAAGGGAACGAATTTCATTATGCCCATAGGTCGCTAGGGTCTGTGGCATCTCTCGTGGGTCGAATATTCTGAACAAGCTGTAGGGTTTCTCCTGAAGATTTTCAAACCTTGTCTTCAAGTAATTCAGGATCTCCGTAAGAAAAATGTCAAACTGTTGATCAAGCATATTGCCTGCATTTGTCAGTTTTAGTTGGTGTCCTTTGTCCTTGCCACACATGAACACTGCCGTTTCCTCAGAATAACTCTTCACAAACTTTCTGTAATGAGCTCCCCTTTGCAGCTTCAACTTCTTTAACATGGTCATGGTCGTCTCTAGTTTGGCAACTACGTCTGTTGTGCAAAGTTTATCCTGTATGATTTACTCAGCTCTGACAAAATCTTCATGACATCCAACAAGAATTGCAGGTGTTTGACAACTTCTCGGACAGAAATTGTTTCAGAATTCCCTTGGCACGTGCCCCGTCTTCACCAGTGGATCCTGTTTTATGCTGCAGGTGCATAACAGTAGTGACATAGTGCTTCTCCAAGGCAGTAATAGCGCGGTATCTGCTTGCCAGCCACCTGGTCTTCTGCAGACCGCTGTAATAGACCGCATCTTCATCGATTATATTGGCAATCTCATTAACCTCTCTTTGTCGTTTTGGAGAACAATAATAAAACTTGTATACCTCTTTAGCTGTGTCCTCAAATGTTGGAAGGTAAGGGCACCTCTTCACAGCATCAAGTACAGCCAGTTCCAGTTTGTGAGCTACACAGCGGATGATGCATATTGGGTGACTAACTTTATCCTCCAGCTTCTTACTCACTCCACCCTTTGCCCCAATCATAACATTGGCCCCATCAAATTGCAGCCTACTAACTTTTCACTCAACACACTTTCATCGACCTGTACAGCTTCAAGTCCTTTAGTAATAGCATCTGTTATACCTGTAGCATTGGCAGACTGAAGAGAGACAAGGTCAGAAAACTGTGTCGAATTGAATCAGTATAACGTACAAAAACAGTCAACTGCTCTGTGACACTCTTGTCTGTGGCACCATCTGCCAAAACACACAGAAACATGGCATCCCTGATTTCCTTTACATACTTCTCCTGTTCAATTGCAGCAATGCTGGACACAAACTCTTTACATTTAATTTCATTGCGGTAATTATTTCCCATATCTAGACCATTCTTCTCTTGAAGATCACACAAACCAGTGAATTTTTTGAATGCGAGACCTTCCTTTGCCACATAATGAGCAGTATTGAACAATTTTTCCATTCTTGATTTGGTTTCGTCATCCCGCTTTGCAGATACTGTCTTCATCATTGTTGCAAGGGGTTTGTCTGCATTTTCTTTGTCAACTTTCCATTTGTTCAAGCACTTTCCATGGTCGCTAGATATGTCACGGGACTGGAGACTTTGTACGCGATATTTTCCAAAACCACCAGCACCTTCGGAAAGGGGACTTGATTTATCACAAATGTTTGGATAAGCACGGCATACCTAAATGAAAATCTCAGTTGTCAACAGCTATAACAACGAACTGGTTTAAACAAATCCTGGTAACATGTTACTCAATTGTGAACACAATTACAGCTCTATTTGAAAGGTTATATATGACGCCTGATGATAAGTTCCATAATTCATAAACAACTCTGTATTAAGGGGTTAACCAGAGGTCTCGTAAGGTAGAGGCTAGCGGTATGCTAGGGCTGTGGCTTTCCACGAAAGAGAATTTCTGTCATTAGCAATAGTCTACGGTATTGCACAGTATTGATTGTAGTTTACACTTTGTGATAGTGCCTTTGATTATTAAAAATTGTGCAAGCTTGACCTAAACACAAAGACTGACTGAAATCAAATTCTTTTATTGCACCTCACATACCTTGCAAAGCATTACATCGTTGATGGAATCATGCTCAACCCAAGGATACACTTCTTTCCAGTGGGCCTGAAAGACGCACTTCCTCTTCATTTCATACTTCTCTTTTCTTGTTTTGTCATTCCTTTCTTTTCCTTGTGGTGAAGCTTTTAACTGCGCTTTCTCTTTTTTTCTTTTTTTGTTTTCGTTAATGACTAAATCAAGGTCCATTGGTTGTTCTTCCTTTCTGATGATTGTCTCTGGGCAATGTACTTCAATTTCACAAGCGCTTGAATCTTTAGGAACATGTAGGAACATGTTCATTCGACGGCTAATTAAGCAAAAGAAAACGCTCCCCTACAAACGCACATACACTTGCTTGATAGTCTAAATTTTGCAACACACAGAGCAACTTGTTGCGCCATAAAAACAGCAGCCGATTCGTTTATAAGAATTAGGGACTATAAAGGCGTCTGTAACGTACGGCAATGCGTGTTTTATTTTAGAAATCGAGAAATAAGCCAGAAAACACTTGTAAAGGCTAAACAACTGTAATATGAACTCTTAGTGAATTCGCCAGCAACATTTAGAGTATCCCCTTTTTTTTAGAAAATATATTTTTGTAAAAAAGCTGTCCTTTTACAAATATATATCAGTGTAAAAAAACAGCTTTCTTACGGTACCGTTCTTTTACACAACATATATATATATATGTGCACATTGTATACATTTGTGTATATACATATTTTTTTTGGGGGGGGAGGGGGGTGGGAGGAGGAAGGTATTGATGAAAAAAATATACCTAACAGGACAACAACAATATCCATGTTTCTTTACATAAAACTTGCCGAACAAAATACAAGCACCATTGATATTATTTTCAAGCCTTTCGTAAAACGTGACAATTCCTTACTGGGCAATCCAATATGCAAGACTGTATCAATTTTTTATGGTGAAATAGATGAAAAGATTGTATGAATAGGCAAACTATAGTTTTCATAGCAACTTATAATGTTACCATACACAGTTATAAAACAACAACTTACATTGTTATTCCCAGAGAAATCATGCATTACAACACAAGTTTGGATAGGTACAGACACAGTTGGACCTACTTTGTGATGACACACCCAGCTTGATGCTGCCGAAAAAGGGACATTTCAATCTCTGTGTTGCACACAATACACCCACTGTGGGAGCATCGTTGGGTTCACAGACCCCAAAATGCTGTAAGATGAGTTGTAGCACATTTTCAAAAGTAACTTAGTATTGACAAATGTGTAATTTAATCCAATGTGATTATGGGGACCTCTTTTGATACGTGAACTTTTCAATTGTCAGGGAATGGGCCCAACAATGTGAAATTGCCACAGCCCCCCCGTAGGTATGTATGCGTGCGTGTGTGTATGTGTGTGTGTGAGAGAAATGTGATAAGGTGTACACGTCAAGAGCTCCCACAGCCCTCCCCCACCTCCCCCACCTCCCGCACAGCCTAAACTAATTCTGGAGGTAAGTTTGTCAAACAGAAAATATCAGCCACTCAAAACTACATTCCTGCTCATCGCTTTGCAACGCTGACGTGTCCAAGTCTTTTTGGAGTGGCCTGATGTAGGCTAGTGCCTGGCCAAGTCCGGCGCTGTCCCGGAGGAATGGCACAGAATATCTCCCGGCAGGAGAAGTGATCAAAGAAAGTTTGGAGCTAGGTGATCCACTTCTTAGAATCTCGAAACCACCACCTTGAATAAGTTTGGGGTACACGCTCTCCAATTTAGTTCTGACGTCGATGGAAGATGCTTTGCAGTGAAAAACCACTTTCCGGCGGCCAAGACCAGCATTTTGCAACGCTATTTTTTGTGCACGTGAAGGCACACAGGTAGCTGTTGTCGATCCGAGGCAAAAGAATTCATGTGTCCATGTCTCTTTCACTTGGAAAGAG